TTGTTCATCTGATTACCTTTTATATCAATGTGGAAATTATCACAGATCCTAGCAGTCGTGTTATTTTGCTAGTACAAAAAATATTAGCGAAATAACTATCACGTACCACTTCCCTAGATTATATAATTAAATTATTCTGCTTATATAGTTGTTGAATGTGAAAACTGTAATCTCATTCCTATCCTACAGAGTCCAAAAGAAGATTGAGGAGGGAGTATAGCATATGCGAGAGAGATAAATTGTACAAGCTCATTCAGATAAACAGAAATAATTGGAGAAAACAGTTGAAAACCTTCTGTCACACGTGTATGGTATGGATGTCAGACTTTTTTTTCCTATCTCATGGAGAAGACAGCAAGTCTGCTGGAGAGTGGGTGTTCTGCAGAGTGAATCAAAGGTGTCTAGAAATGGCAATACAGAAATGTAGCACAAAACTTTACTTTTCTGAAGCATACTAAAGAAGAGAAACTATGCTCAAGTGAGACTGTAGTAGGCGTCACGCTCTTCATTCTAAAGCCACAATTAACTTTCATTCATGTACTGCCAGTAACAAAATTTTCCTCAATGTTACGTATCAATGTTCTCTTCCCTCTAGCTTTGAAATAGTGTTAATATTACTTGAGAAATGAGGTATCACTGATTTCTCCCATCTGCCTGCACCCTGTGCCCACTACCCAAGGGCTGAGACACTCACCTGTATTCTCTGCAGCCAAGGGAGCAACTAACAAAAAGTTTGTCAGGAGCCCCAATGCTCAGAGGAAGATCAAGAAACGAAATCAAACAAGTGCAAATTTCAACCCAGTCCAGCTCTCGGGAGGAAGGAGCCTGGATGGTTTTCAGGCCGTCCCAGTGAAGCCTGGGCTGACCGAGTCAGTCAGCAAGCCCTGTGCCATGAGCTGCTCACAGCAGCAGAAGGCTCAGACCTTGCTAATTCAGCAGCACAAAAACTGTTCTGCTGGGTAATTAGCACTGGCATTGCCCATGGCTCCACAGCCTGTGGCATCCTACAGCCAGGAGATCTCAAAATTACTGGGTTGAGCTGTTGATTTGGGGGAGGGGGTTGGGTTGGGTTGGTTTTCTTTTCAGCTTCAACACAGGGATAGCTCATGATTTTGCAAGGAGAGGATTATTTTAATCAAGGCAGCCACCAGCTTGTACACTAATTAGAACTGACTGACACAACGCCACGGAACCTCAACATGTTACATGGCCAGACATGCTATACACAAGTAATCCATTCACGAGATAAATTTCTAAGGGAACATCAAGCTCCCATTTCTCTTTCTGCACCTAGCATTTCCTGGAAAAGGCTGTTTCTCTTCACAAGAACACTACTTTACCACTCTGCACCTCTATAAATAATTCAGTGAACACGATTAGATAAGTCCCCCTTTTCCAGGATGACCCTCCCACACAGCCTAGGGACCTCCTCACCATCCCACCCACAGAGCCCTGCTTTGGTGGCTGAAACTCTGACCAGCACCCAAAGCCACATTGCTCTGGTCAAGAAGCAAATGGGACTCCCTGCCGAGCCTTTGTAGCTGCCGAGCTGTTTGGAAGAGTTAAAAGTCAAGCAAGCCAACACTATCCTTCCCCCCCAGGGAACACACCAGCCTAGGAGAGGAGTAAGTAGGAAACGTTGCAGAAACGGGAAGCATAAGTAAGCAGATCTCAGTACTACAAGGTGAGAAAGATGCGGTAGTACGTGAGAATATGCTACTATCAGTTATGGGATGCGAAAGCAGTATCATCACTTTTGGTCAACGATTTGAGAAATGTAGAAATAAAAGCCATTCATCTGGACAAGAAGATTGTAAACAAAGTATGTTTTAATGTACAAAGTCAGCTTGACCTTTCTAATAATTACCATTTGTCAAGCAGTTTTCTTAAAATCTGATTTTTTCAAGTATTTTACTGAGGTAGTACATAAGCTAGAACTAATTTGCTCAAAGATTTCAAAAAGTGAAAAAATAAACTTCCTGACCAATTATTGCCATGTGTCAGAAAACTCATATTTTGAGTACTTCTGAAAGAATGACAGCTAAATATTTACAAACATTAAAGAAATATTTGTCAATGCAGTCAAGAGCCCCAGGTTTAGATGTCTCATAACTGAAAACAAACATCTAAATGAAAACTCAGTAACTACTACAATAGTTTTTCTTCTATGAGTTCATGTATCCTTAGAATTTGCATTAGTACACCAACAGAATCACAATCATCCTGTTACCTTTACGCAGCTAATCACAACTGATGAGGAGTAATTTAATATTGAGGACATTAATAAAGCAGTGAAAAGAGACTCTGGAACTGCTCTGTGTAAAATAGGATCATAAACAATTGTTAGTCTCCAAGAACATATATTATTAGCCTGTCGTACATTGTACATATAGTACAGACAATCACTTTATTATCTTTTCCTTTACATAGAAGTATATTTTCTCTAACTTTCATTGCTGACCTACTGAACAATGAGAGCAATGCCATGATTCCCCAGACAGCCAAATGCTTAAAAGAAAAACTCTGGCTTAAATTAAGTCTTTCCTTCAATATGTCCAATATTAGATATTTTTAATTATTCTCCTATTTTGTTCTTTGAAAGTACTATAAATCTACAATTTTGTGCATGTAAATCTAGATGCCAGCAAACAATTTAGCTCAGCTCTTTACCCCCCTTACAAAGGCAAGCTGCACTGGAAACTTGACGATAGCCAGCAAGACTGACAAGGTTCAACACAGACTAGCACAAAGTTATTCAGGATAAAAGAAATAAATGCAATTACAAAAAAAAAAAATCGTTTCAGCTTTTCTTCTCTTTTTGTTCTGCTTTATGTAATTACTAAAAAAAAAAAACCATTTGAGTCCTATACTGAGTAATCATAATGCAGTACTGGTTTGTTATTTGTTGGTTTATAATGAAAAAAAAAGAAATCCTATAAAAATTGCTGAGCAAAAGGTTTCTTTAAAAGCAGCATATCTAACAAGATAATCAACTCAAGTTCAGAGCATCAAAAACAACAAAACAATCCCCCATTTTAGGGAAGGCATTATAAAATGCCATTGCCTATGATAGCAGGAGATAACCCAGGAGAATCCTGCCAGTCCCATTCCTATTTGGGTGACTTCTTGATAGACACACCCGGTATGGAGTGCAAAAAAAACAACACCCCAACCAAACTACTCTCCCCCACCCCAAACCAGTAGATTTCTGTGCTTTTCCTGCTAAGAGAAGGAAAATGGGGTCGGTTTGTACATGCATGGATGCTGTTTGCATCTCTTTCCCATTTTAACAAATCCCACACTGATCATGACCTGTACAGTGTGTGGTGGAAGGAAGAAAAAAATCATTGTGGAAAGTATTTAATACACAGTAATAAAATTTACATAATCTCTTGTTTGTCTCCATGAGAATTGTAACATGTACTGTAAACTGATTTATTCTAGCTCTTCTTGGAGCAGCAGTGTTATTAAGCACTGAAACAGTCCTCAATCTAATTGCGTTAGCAATTCAATTTTACATTTGCTGCCTAGTTGTTCACATTAACCTTTAGACCCCTTCAATGAAGGAATCTGTTTTTTAACTAAGAGTAGCTTAGTACTATGCAAGCACCAATATTACCTTTCCGTACTGAAGATTCTAAAAGGTTACAGTATGTTCTGGTTAAGGCTCAACTTTTTAACTTCGATAATAATTCAGTGTTTATTTATATTTAAATCTGAGATGTATTAATTTCTCATTTGTAAGATTTTACTCTGCCAGCAGGTTCCAGGATGGATTAGCTTAGCAGAGAAATGAAAATTTCTTGTGACACTCCAGATTAAGGTACTCTGTAATGTTTACTTTTCCAATATTTACTATGAGAGTATCAAACTCCATCATTCAAGATACAGTTTAGTCTTGCTAAATTTCTCATGTAATAATACACCAAAACTACCAGCACTGACAATTTAAGAGTTCTGAAGCTTTCACTGTACTAATAATTACTTATACGTAATGGCACAAAATACACAGTCATACCCTTAATCATACCCAAGCAGCTACTAGTAAAGTAACCGAACTGTATGGTTTTAAGGATATTTTTATACCTAAAATTAACCACGTATTTATCTCACATATATTTATATACCATACATATTATCAATAATGCCCCACCATACCTATCATACCAAAGAACGTGTCAGATGATACACATAAGTTACAAACTGCATACACTTGAACTGAAAACTAGAGCAAAAATATTGAACATATTGGCATTTTAAAAGACGTTTTTCAAATCAGAACTGTAACGACTTTCTAGATCAGCTAAATGTTACCATTAAATATTTGCACCCTAAATAAAAAAAAAACCACACACAATACCTTCCAATCTACACATAACATCTTGTTCACATGATACTGTTCAAAAACAACTTCAAAAAGAATTTGTTGGGAATAACAGCTACTCATTAAAGCATTTAATACTGGTTAAGACTAAAACCAAACAAAAACGTATAATCTGCGTCTGCAGAACAAGTGAACAACCACAAATCCAACAACCTCAAACATCAAGTGCAAAGCAAGGGGCTAAAACAACACAAAGATGGGACACCTCCCAGTTACCATGTTTCTACATTCTAAACAGACAAAAAGTCCTTAGCAATGTGGAAGACCAGGAGTTCAGCATCCTGGAAGAAAGAAGCTGCTACTTTTTCAATTCACTGCAAAGTAAGCCTTTGCCATAATTACTATGTTGCATAAAAGTTCTGGCAAGTGTTTCTGGACAGAATCGTTACTACTGCTGAAGTTGCTTCAATATAGTCTGATCACCCACAGAACTGTTTTCTAAACTGCTCTTAACATGCTGTCCATTGATTTCTACAGTGAATTAAGAAATAATTCTCACTATTTCAAATAAAAATACTGCAAGAAGTATGAGAAATAAGGCAGTGATGAAGAGCAAGGTCAAATACACATTTCAAAACTTTTCCAGAAACATTAAATTCTTAAGAGGAAATCCTACCTGATACTCTTCTGTTGTATCGGTTAACAACTGGAGCTGCAAAATAAAGAAAACAAAATTACAAATGCTATTTGTTATTACACATTCAAAGTCATCTTGAATAACCAAGATACTTTTTTACTACACAAATCCCATACAAATCTCTTTAAAAAAAAAAGTTTCAATATGAAGGTTTCATCCATTTACTCGCCGGCGAGTAAGTGTTTATCCAAAGTTAAAACTTGATATTCCAGAAGGCTAGGATGGAGGGTAAGCGGTTTGGGGTTTTTTTGTTTTGCTTTTTAGTTGGTTTTATGTAGTGTGGTTTTTTTACCCACTTCTTAAAAAAATATAACTCTACAGAGGTCACCCAATCCTAACCTACCATCAATTCCCAGCTCACTTAGCATTATTATGAAACATTCAAGCACTGTGAGTGAGCTTTACCTATTTACCACGGATCAAAACCGATGGAACTTAATAGCTAAACCGTTACACGACACAAGTGGTGTAACTGCTCAGGCAGTGCTCCCATACTACCTCCATTCATCTATCCCTGACCAAGTCTATCTTGGCACACATTTAAACCACAAAATTTTGAGAAAGAGGATCCATTGTTTCACTGCTTCACGCTGTAAAGGTACTTCAACTTTAGCTCTAATTTGGGATGAACTTTCTGAATTTCACTATTCACATACAGTTTGGCATTAAGCCAACCATTAGTAAACAGTATTCTTTCCCCCTTTCACTGCAACCAAGTTACTGTCTTCAGTTGCTTCATTCTCAACACAAAAAAAACCACCCAAACCTGTAAAACTTCACCCAGAAGAAAACCAAAACACCATGATCCCCTTCACCACTAACAACCAGAGTAATTTTATTCTGAATGCTCTATGCCTTCCTGTTCCTCTTGCCCTCTACTGATAATTGCATTTTTCCTGATACTCCAAGTGACCTTTCTTTTTTAAACATTTAAGAATTAGATGACCCTTTATACCAGAAATCATATGCACATGATCCCATAATTTCTTAGTGATCTCATAATTTCTTAGATTAGAAACTTTTCAGTATCTCAGCATCACCTGAATATGAAGGGCAATGCTTTCTTCAACAAATACACAAGAACTCAGCCGTCTTTGAGCATTTACAACCACCCTGTATCTACATTTAAAACACATAACTGAGAATAATACCAGAAAAAAAAATCAAAATTATTGTTGTATATTCTTTTGTAATGATAAAGGAAATCCAAAGAAAGAGGAGCTTAAGGATTGGAAATAATCAGGCTAACTTCATAAAATTTTCAGCCAAATTTATCGAGGAGATAACACTCAACTTAACAAGAAGCTAACAACTGAATGCAAGGTTATTTTGAATATTGCAATTTAGATCAAGACCTAGACTTCTACTACACAACACTGACACAGTGTTTCATACATCATGCTTGAAGAGGTTCAAAACATTGAATGATAAAACTGAGAATTCAAGAAACCTTATTTTCAAACCTTTAAGCAATTTTTGCCAATAGCAACCCTTCCTGCAAATAAAGACAGCATATATTGCACTTGTCAGAGGACACCACAGAAGCAGGAAGGTTCTATCACCTTAAGTGGAGACAGATATTTGGAACAAAGATCCATTCTAGTTTATTAAACTAACAACAAATTCATGCAACTCCTTGAACTGAAAAATATTTATACATTTTGCCCTGTTCTTAGCTTTTCCCCATGGGCCTGCCTGTGGCCACCGATTACAACACTGCTCTAAACATTCACCTGCCCTGCATCAGTCCATTCATTCGTACCTCTAGTTTATCGAGCAAATGTAACTAACTGCTAAAAGGTGGCAAGCAAATCTGGACATTAAGAAATAGGAAAACTTAGTTCTTCTCCAGAGACACAGACAAATGCCTACCCTAGAATCATGGAATCACAGAATGGCCTAGGCTGGAAGGGACCTTAGGGATCATCTCGTCCAACCTCCCTGTCATGGGCAGGGACGCCTCTCAACTAGATCAGGCAACATCAGTTCTAATATGATGAAGAATAAGAGGATCAAAACCAATTAGCTCAGTTCCCACTACAAAGTGATTTATTAAATGACAGGCACTAAATTCAAAAGAGAATTTGGTAAGTTTGCAGTACAAGCACTATTTTCATATATGGATTCAGTTACTTTTAATCAACATCACTAGTAAACACATTATTTCAGGCATTGCCTTGCATACGCAATCTTTTTTTCTCCACATCTGACTACGACACTCATTTCTTACTCATGTTTAAGAATAACATTTTAACATCTTTGAACAGATCGAATATACTGCAGAAAACTCGTTGGGTTCCATAGAAAAAAAATAAATCCATTTTTCAAAGACTGTGGCTTCTTCTACAATCTTGATTTTATCCCATAGCAGGGTTCAGTGCCATCAAAACAGCACCAAGTTTTCCACAGGGTTACAAATGAGAAAAAACCATAACCTTTTAAGTACAGTTAAGAGAGCACTATTATTCTGCCTCCACAAAGCTTTTAAGATTAGAATGATAGTTTGCTTTTCTAACATCAGTGACAGTTTTCACATGTATAAAATTTCAGGTTCACTTTTATATGTTGTCAGAAGATGACTATTTTTATGCTAAAGAGATAAAATCTGACATTTCCTACTACAGAAGATTAGCATTTTCTTTTGTTCTGCCTTACCAATGAAAAAGTTCTCTTTGTTTATGCCTGTTTTCAGTACTGCACAGACAGTATAGCCACTCCTATGGCATCCTTCTGTTTTGTCATTAGAAGTGCATGGAGAAAAGCCAGGCACCAAGGACCGCTGAGAATAACAATTCACGAACGTCCCACATACACCTAGATTAGTCTGGGGACAGATTCCAAAACATTAGATGAGGCGGAAGGGAAAAATACATTTACGGTTAACCCAGCCTATTTCCTACCTAGGCTGAACGCTAACAGGCATCTCACTTAAAGCAATAGTGCTGGATACGCTAATAGTAACCTCAGGCCAGCACAAGCCCTGCCTGCCCCGTGACAGGAACACAGTGAACCCACGCACCGAGCTGGTGCCCCTCAGCAGAGCTGGTATCTGCAACAATAAAAGGAAATTGCTGCTCTGAAGAAGGAAACAATTCATTTCTCGTACTCACATGCAGAGTCTCCCTCCTGCCACGTCTCAGGTCAGTTACAAGTTAATTACAGAAACTATAAGGAGATGAAAATATTTTGCCGCACAATGACTGTATCGCAAATTCCCCATTATGTCAAAACCTCAGGTGCAGCAATCTGCAGGTTCAAAATGTCTCGTACCTTTGGCACAGACCTTGCTTTTACTTGGCTTACAGGAGCCAAGACCTAGTAACTGGGTAAACACAACAAAAACTGAGGTATATGAAAGCATCGTACCAGAAGAAACCAAAACGGCCCAATTTCCTCCCTGGCAGCCACAAGCAGGTGACACAGGCAGCGCAAAGGCAGATGGAGCGGTGCAATCCAGAGTTTTGCCATTCAGAAACGTCTGCTGAACACGTGTGTATTTTCCACACTGCCCTCGGGCACAGACTGAATTAAACACTAGATACAAACATTTAACAGGGGCTGTTTGAGATTGAAAAAGTTACAAGTTTCTGGCTATAAGATTTTTTATTTTATTCACGGTTGCAATTTCTAGAACCAATTAAGTTTTCTAGCTTCAATCAAATACTTACTAAATAAGTAGTTATTAACTTTCTGTCAGTATCACTTAGCCTCGCTCATAATTTTCCTTTTCCTGCACTGGGGAAAAAAGGTAAAAAAAAAAAACCACAAAAAATAGTGGACATTCACTCAGATACATATATATATATATATACACACACACATATATATATATACACATGAATGCCACATACATATCATAAACACTCAAAGAAGAATCAATGTTATAAAGGTGCTCAGCTTTCCAGTTTTAAAAACATACTACCTTCAGTCAGATAACTGCAAAAATGAGTCACATACTCTCCTCCCTCAAAGTAAAGGCATATCATTCCATTTATTAAATAAAAATCATTTGAACCATTTGCATAAATAAATCCATATTGTACATTCTGTTATTTAAATTCACAAATCTACCTTACATGAAACAGCACTACTGCCATACAGCTATCCTACCACTTGTAGTAGCTCCATTCCATTTGGTTTTATCACTTTAAAAATACAGATCTCAGAAGGGATATAGATTTCTATAGGGATATAGATTTCAGAAACAGAGACTGGTATGTGATAATGCTGAGAACCATAGACCTCAAATGCAGAATTCTTTTTTTTTTAAAATACTTTCCAACAGTTTAAAACCAGGAATTTCTCTGGTTTGCTTTAGCATTGAGCGTTTCCTTGAAATACCCGATGCTGGATTTTGCCTCATCACGCCCAACCTACAAGAGTTTTGACTGTGGTTATGGGCTGGTGTTAAAACTCAGCCTCCATTGCTGAAAAAGTGTGTAAAAGAGAAAGGACACGGATATTACCTTTTCTTTTTTTTTTTTCCTCCCTTGTTTCGAAACCAAAGTATTTAAGTCAAGTGACAGTAAAATCATTCTCCAACTTCACAAATCAGCTTTAAAAGAATGCTTT